TAATGTATGTATGACGTCAGATACCAACTTATACACGCGATTTTGAGAGTATTTGCGAACGGAGCCGACAGGTTGTGTTGTCTTCAAAACGGCAGACTACAGTGTAATGATCACGTGCAAGTAATGACGTCATTATGTTCTATTTTTAGGTGGAATGTGTGAAATTGGTGATTAGTGTTGTTGTGGTCGTTGTTATAGCAACACTGATATATCATGACTTCAAACACACCACGGTGGGTGGAGGAGCCAGGTGTTGGTTTGTGTTACTATGCTCGTAACTGTGGATTGAGTGAATTTCCGAGTGAAGTCTTTGATGAAAGTCGTAGAAATGTTGTGTGGATATGGCTGAATAGAAACAATATTTCAGAAATTCCAGAAAATATTTCTTGTTTACGTCACCTGAGATCACTGTTGTTATATGACAACAATCTGAGAACAATTCCAGATAACATTGGAAACCTTTCACAACTAGAAGTACTGTTCCTGCATGGCAACCCATTGATAGATCTACCCGTGTCTTTGAGAAGACTAAAGAATCTGAGGTACTTCTCCTGTGACGTCATAGACGGTATTTTAGAAGAAGATGTGAGGATTATGAACAACAAGACGGAAATCAGAAAACTATTTGATAAAGTGTTTAAAAGAAAAGGTAAACATAAATAGATAAACAAATCCTGGTAAACAAATCCTGGTAAACAAATAAACAAACAAATAAATAAATACAAGTTTACCACGTGACCAAATTAGAATATTTTTTTTCAAAATGAGAAAAAAAAATTAAAAGTGAGATTTAAAAATTTAAGACCCGTTGGGGGGGGGGGGGGTCTCGAATGGTCACGTGACCAACCGAAAACCCGAATTTTTATTTTAATCAAGGATTGATTTTAGCTATTGCCATTGTCAAAAACGAAATGCACAGGCAGTCTGAATATCAGTGAAAGTTATTTTGAATTTTACAATGTGTTTTTTATAAAATTGTGAATCGAATGTTGGGCTAAAAATATAGCATGTGTAATCAACGTGTTTCCGTTAGACTCGTTCGTTGGCGAGTGGATTATAGTTGCTGAGATTTATCAATTTAAATCCAAGAATTGCAACCATTATCTTAAAACAGAGATTATGAGGTCAGTGTCAAACC